ATTTTTTTTTAGATTTGCTGTTTCTAAAATTCATAATGCAGTTTAAGGTGGATAAAAATCGACATTATCAATTAATTTGTTATCGTGTCAATCAAAAGAGTTTACAGCGAAGGAGAAAGGAATGTTTAAATAGACAATTTTTTTCTTCTTCTTTTTGTAAAATTCAATTTTATCCTTCTTGTAAGATAATATGTACACCAGTTTTAAAAAGTTAAGGAAAAAAAAAAAAAAAAAAACTCAATGTGTACACTGACAAAAGCCACCGAAACAAGCGCAACAAATCTTGTCATGAGGGAGATAATTCACAATGCGAGCGCAATAAATTTGTTGTTGTCCAGAGAAAACATAACTTGGTTGTCATTTTCGTCTTGAGGGTTGGATCTCATCACCGTTTCCTATCATAGTTCCAAGAGGGCTGTAGTGATGGTTGAGGAGGCATCGTTTAGTTTGCGAATTTGATATTTTAATTTAAATTGATATGTAATTTTATATGAAAATTTTTTATTATAGTAAAAAAAATTAAATATAATTTTTTGTAAGAACTTTTAATTATAGTAAAATTGAAATTGAAAACTCAAAATAGTGAAATGAATGATGCCTTAATAAACTTAAATCCAGGGTTTTAGATTTATGATTTTCTTTTTTTCTAGTTTTGGCTTTCTTTCAAACTAACTTAAAATGATTTTATGGTTTTCAATTTAGGGTTGTTTTCCGATTTATATTAAATTATGCAATTACTAAATTAAAAGTCTAATAAATATCTTTCAAAAATATAAATTATTAAATATTAGATAAATAAAAATTATTAATGTTTTTATAAAAAAATAATAGTAAATATTGGGGGAAATAAGGTATTACTTAATATAAATTGATAAATAAAATATTTACATAATGGATTTACTAATTAAAGAGATTAGTAATTAATTGATTTTACTGAATTGATAATATATCAAAAAATTAGTCCCAAATTGAATTCCTAACCCTAACCTTGATCCCCAATTCCCAACGCCGCCGCTAGCATCTGCCCTTTTGCAACCCAACTTGCGATTGAACTTGGAGAGGATCGACTTGTGCTAGTGGCGACGAGCTTGACAACCTGTCTTCGCGACGGCTAGTACCGCCAAGCGGAGGCGCTAAAAGGGTAGTTTAGGTATTAAGATCGTTTTTGGAAATTTAAAAATTTAAAAAAAAAACACATGGGAAGTTATCTTGAGAAACGGCGTCGTTTACTGCAAATTTTCTAATTCTTAAAATTTAAACCCTCGGCTGAAATAAACGACTGAATCGAAAGGGTTTTTTCCAGCAGCCATGAATCGAGCAAAGAACATCCTCATTTCCCTCCGACTCGCCAACTCGTTCCTCTCGACTCAGATTCACAGCTCGACTCGACCACCATGTTCCCAGGTGATTCGTTTCTCTCAACTCTCTTCAATTGTTCCCAATCAATCTCGCGGTTCTCATCTCATCAACACCCATCAAAAGCTCTTCTTTTCTTCAACCCCCAACTCGGTCGTGGAGCTCGTCCTGGCTAACGAGTGGTCCACTGAGTTGGAGAACGAGTTAGATGACTCGAACCTGGGTTGGACCCACGAGCGAGTTATATACGTTTTGAAGAAACTGGATAAAAACCCACAAAAGGCTTCTGTTTTTTTCAATTGGGTAAGTCAGAAAGATGGGTTTAGACCAAGTTCTTTACTTTACAGCTTGATGCTCAGGATCCTAGTTCTTAAGGACATGAAAAGGTTTTGGGCCACTCTGGCAAAAATGAAAGAACAAAGCTTTTATATTGATGAAGAAACTTTTGATTCTATCTTGGCACAGTTAGTTAAGGAAAAGATGACTAACGATGTTGTGGCTTTGAGGCACTTTAATGATAGGATGATTGAAGATAATGCAATGGATAGTGTTGTGAAGAAGGTGGTTGATGTTGTTTTGGGGCTACAATGGAGTGATGAGGTTGAGAAACAATTAGGGAAGATCATAGTTGACTTGTCGGATAATATTGTTTTAAGGGTGTTGAAGGGACTTAGAACTTACCCGTCAAAAGCTTCTAGCTTTTTTCGTTGGGTTGGTCGGTATCCGGGCTATGAGCACAATTCTGTCACTTATAATGCGGCTGCAAGGGTTCTTAGTCGGGATGATTCGATCGGAGAGTTTTGGGGTATGATTGAGGAAATGAAGGGTGCGGGTTATGATTTGGATATTGACAATTACATAAAGATTTCGAGGCAATTTCAGAAGAGTAAGATGATGGAGGATTCGGTGAAGCTTTATGAGTTTATGATGGATGGCCCTTTTAAGCCCTCGGCTCAGGACTGCAATTTGCTCTTAAGGAGCATCTCGGCCGGTGATAATCCAGATTGTAGTTTGGCATTTAGAGTTGCGAAGAAATATGAGTCCACGGGACGTACCCTTTCTAAGGCTGCTTATGATGGGATTCATAGGTCTTTGACTAGTGCGGGAAGGTTTGATGAGGCTGAAAAGATGATGAAAGTTATGCGAAATGCAGGGTATGAACCGGACAACATTACTTACAGCCAATTGGTCTTTGGACTCTGTAAGGCAAGGAGGCTTGAAGAAGCTCGTCGAGTGCTAGATGAGATGGAAGCAAATGGATGTACTCCTGATATCAAGACTTGGACCATTTTGATTCAAGGGCATTGTTCTGCTGGTGAAGTTGACAAGGGATTGATGTGTTTTATGAAGATGATGGAAGAGGATTGCAATGTGGATGGCGATTTGTTGGATGTCTTGATAAAAGGTTTTCTTAGTCAGCGGAAGATAAAGGGCGCATATGATTTGCTGATTGAGTTGGTGGATAAAGCTCGTGTAATACCTTGGCAAGCGACGTACAAAAACCTTATTGAAAAGATGTTAGAAGTGAGGAAACTTGAAGAAGCAATGAACCTTCTTCGATTAATGAAGAAACACAAGTACCCTCCCTATCATGACCCTTTTGTTCCTTACATCTCGAAGTTTGGGACTGTTGAGGAGGCTGCTGAGTTTTTGAAGGCATTGAGTGTGAAGAAAAATCCATCTCCCTCGGCTTATTTTCATATTTTCGAGTCATTCTTTAGGGAAGGCAGACACTCTGAAGCCAAAGATCTGCTTTTTAAGTGCCCTCACCATATCCGCAAGCATCGCGACATTGCCAAACTTTTTGGGTCCACACAGAGCAGCCCTGCTACTGCTTGATTTTTTTTTTCTCCCTAAATTTATTGTTGCTATACGCTGCTACTTGACAAGTATTTACCCAACAATATTTAGAACATCGTTGTTAGATAAAATGGCCAATCAATGCAAATTTCGGATGGAATTTGGATTCATTTTCTTTGTTTCTTGGCTTTTGTTTAGGCAATTTGCATTATTGGAAGTGGGAACTAGAGTGCAGCTTCTTTCTCATTTTCCTTATAGTATATTCTCTTTCTGCGAGCATCATTGTTATTACAAGTAGCTCAGAGCTGCAAACAAGATACAAATTCAGTCCAATAGCTGCTCATCAAACTACATTATTTACAAAACTCTAGAAATCTTGTAAATTCAGTCGAGCAGCTCAGAACTTTCCCTCTTTGCAGTGTCTATCATTGCAGACAAGAACTTGCCAGGATCACAACCGCAGGGATTTGAAAGAGCAGCATGTGCCAAGAATGGAAGCTTTCTCAGAGACCGTCCACTCAATCCCTATATGCAAGAATTCGTCGAGTCAACTTTAAGAAATCGTGATTTGAATTTAGTACGGATATGGAAGCATATTTTTGACCCTTACCTCGCACGCTTCTGTAGCTTCAAGCAACTGTTTGCACAAATGAAGTGTCTCAGCTTCCTGATTCTCATGCATGTTCAATTTCTCTTTTAAACTACTATAGTTTGGAAGCATAAATTGATCACAATCCTACAAAATTTTCAGCTTTAATTAGCACAATTTCAATGTATCTAGACCAGCACTTGGTGTAGTGAATGAAAAATGAAGGCTTAGAGCCCGTTTAGAAGATATATTCAAACTATGATTTTTAATTCTGGGGTTTGAATTTTTAATTTTTTGTGAGAGAAAAACATTGTAGCTGAATTAATAACTTGAGTTTGAGTATATGAAACGGGCCCTTAATTTTTCTTATAAGAATGATAAAAGGTTTATATGCATGCTGTCTTTTAACAATGTGAGAGATTCATACCCGGAGATAAGATAATATGCCTGTCCGTACAAGTTCCTGCAAGCAGCTCCTTAGAATTTCATAACGAGCTTCAAGAGTTGGAGGACCAACATATGCCTTAATATCAGCTCGATCAATAAATGCAATATCTGCCACCGGATAAATTTGGTAAGGCCTCACATGCTAAAAGCGTGGTAATACTTCTCACGCGGCCAATGAAACAAATAAGCAGCAAAGCAGGATTGCTAATTTTCAGAAACAAATAAGCAGCAAAGCAGGATTGCTAATTTTCAGAAACAAATTGAACAAGCAGAAAGGCAAAAGATTATCTGATTATGAATACAATTTATCAACAAAAATGAATATATTCCACTCCAGAATCTCAAGGAACTACAGATACGTCAAAGTGATTTGCATGAAATTATGTTATTGTAATGGAATGATGGTGAAATTATGTTATTGTGATGGTCAAAGATTATGAATACAATTTATCAACAAAAATGAATATATTCCAATCCAGAATCTCAAGGAATACCATAGGCAAACTACAGATACGTCAAAGTGATTTGCATGAAATTATGTTATTGTAATGGAATGATGGTGAAGAAAACTAGAGTCTAGAAGAGGGAAGTGGCACTGTTTAGCATGCAGACTTCAAAATTACAAATTCACCCGGTTGGAAAATCAGTCTTAGGCTTACCAATAGCAGCAGTAATATTGGACGTGGTCAAAATTATCACATTTGGAGATGATTTCAATTTGTCAATCTGAGTTAGTAGTGCGTTCACGACCTGAAATGGCAATTTTTAAAATGCAATGAGATCAAAATTGAACTAGTTTTCGCATTATCCAAGATATTGTTGCTGGGAAAAAAAAAAAAAAGAGTATGGTTAATGTGATTGCTTGAAGGATAGGGAGGCATTATAGGAAGGGGAACGTTAGAGGACAGTACCCTGATAGAATCCGAAGGTTCAGAACCAGACAGAGCAGCCTTTCTAGCGGCAGCAAGACTTTCAACTTCATCTGCAGCATTATCATATATATTTATAACTAGAAGCTAGAAGGACACAAGATGAATTTAGAAATTAAAAGCTCTGTAATTATTAAGCTCACCAATCAAAACAAATACCAGATTGTTTTCTTCCTCCACCATTTCTTGAATTTTCTGGAAAAGCTTTGCAACCTATAACAGCAAACTATGAGCCACATAAACTGAATCCAATTCTCACGATTAGCTTGTTGCTTAGAACTTATTTCAATTCTGTTTGCAGTTTCAAAAGGAAGATATTTTCCTAGGTAGAATATACCCTGAATCAGTAGGTTGCCAACCTTATAATCAAAACAGCGCTTATCAAACCTTGCCATACTGAGTTTTCAATTTTTCTAGGAGAATACAGTTGCAGATTTTTGTAATTATTCATTACATCTTAAGATCTTGAAGGCCAAATTAGCTAAGGTAAAAATCTGCGAGTAACAGAGGCCAAAAACATCTTATTCAGAGTTGCAGTAAACTAATAATTACATACCAACTTGCCACTCTCAGAAAACCATTTACTAAACAAAGAATGTGCATTGACTTCAACCAACTGGCACTGCGAATATCTGTAAACAAGAAAATAATGAGTTAAGACGATCAAAAGTCCAATTAATAGATTGTCTACTCACTGGGCTATATTAACAAACCTGAAACTAAATCTAACAGATAGCTTTTGAGCCAATGCTTTGCATAAAGAAGTTTTCCCAGTCCCTGGAGGTCCATGTAGAAGCACAACGCTGCAAAATTTTGAAGCAATGAACTTATGGTCAGTAAAACCTTAAATGCGACTTGCATGAATTTTACTTTACTAATACCAATTCTAAAAGCTCAAAACATCAGATATGAATATCTACCGCGCTCTCAATTAATGAACCATTCCTTACCGATTCCATGAAATAAGAAAAGGATTCACACCCTTTTCAGTAAAGAGCAACGCACTTGCTGCATACCGCAGCAACCTTTTCTTGAGACCAGGTTCATAAATTAAGCTGCAAAGAACAATTCACTACATCAATTGGTTTTCACACTATTAAGGGGAAAAGAATAGTGAGAAACAAACCTTTCCCACATGCCATCAAATTCCTTTGCAGGAAGAATCCATTCGTTGAAGCTGGCAAGTTGTCCGTCCCCACTTAATTCCTCACATGGCCCTTCCTCACTAAGCTGGCAGAAAAAAATAAGTACCATCAAGTGTAAAGATGGAGGCTCAGTGAAAAATTAGTTTCAAAAACTTTCAGACACCTTCTCAGATTTACCACTTAATGAAATTAAAATGCAGGAGACTGAAAGAAGCAATTAAATGAACTATCAACTACACAATGATCCGGGTAAAATCGGGAAATTGTCCCTTCAATTCTCTTCGGAACAATGAATGTACTATAGCAAAGGATGTTAAAGAACTATGCTGAGAACTGTCAGCTACACAATTTTACCTGAAAGACGTGGACAACAGGCTTGACTTGCCAGAACAAAAGAATGTCGTGGTTCTGCACCCATTCCTCTACAAATACAAACAGTTCAAGCATCACAACCGGAAAAAATCCAAAACACTCTCGAGCAGTTTAACAGATTTATCAGCAACCCTTTTTTTATTTGATAAAGTTAACTGGGAAACTGCCATAATCAAGCTGGTTAACAGTTTCAAATTTGATTTTAATCTGCCTAACCTTCACACACAAAATAAATAAAATAAAATAATTTATGTATAATAATGCATACCCGTGTCACAGATATTAATCCTTTGAACATTTTCTGTGAGAAACAGATCGTCAAGTGGCACACCAATGGGTCCATCTACATAGCTTAAGCTCCTCTTCTCAAGCATTCTAAGCATTTTAAATAAATAATAATCAAAGAACAAGCAAGGTCATAAATTTTTATAGCTCTTTCAAGCAATCTAAGAATCCAATAAAACGAATAATTAAATCACACAAATATCCAAATAACCCACAAGTACATTCACGATCAAATAAATCAAAATAATTTCATCGAAAATTGTCAAATTAAATCACACATTCCTCAAGCTTACTTCTCCACGGCCGACCGGACATCTTCAGACCGAGCTGTGCTCGAGGGTTTTAGGCAGACTTCAACTGGAACACACAAAAATAAAACACCATTATATATATATATATATAAATTGGAAATGAAAACTGAAATTGAGACGCAAAATTGATAATGGCGAAGATCGAGAGCATCTGGTACTGACCGGAGACGAGAAATTTGTCTTGGGGCAGTGTCGGAGGAGGTGATGGCGGGACGACGCCGTTTTGGTCGCACATTGGGGCGTCATGAGGGTTTTGCAGAGAGATCTCCATGGGAGTGTTCATTTTGGGATGGAGAGACTAGGGATTATTGTGTGGAGCTCATCACAGAGGATCGACAGGAAGAATAGCTTTCGGTGGTATTGATGACTGAAGAGAAGTGGCCAAGGCCACCCAAACCAAACCCTACCGGAGAAGACGAGGACAGCGGGAGTTTTCTTTGGAAATGGGCGGGAAAAATGTCCGAAAAAAAAGCTTATTTTAACACGGTTTTTTTTTTTAAAGAATAAAGAGTTGAAAGGAGAAGGCGGTACCTAGCACTTTAGCATAGGGTTTGCGCGTTATCAAAGAAGTCTTTCTGACGTTTGGAATGTTCACTGAAGGCGTATAGATGGGTCCTAAGATTATTTTAATTAGAGAAATTCCTTTTAGATTATTTGAGGATGTTTGGTTGATGGGTTTAGAATTATTTTTGATTTACGTGTATTTTTTATGAGAGAAAATATTATAGTGAACCACGAACCATGATTCGAATCATGACATGAATCTAACAGCCAAACAACCCAGAATTGTCTTTTAAGTTTAGCATCCAAACTAATCAAGCATGTGTAACTCTTTTTGTATACCCATATAACATCGTTCGTATATTTATATAACTTAGTTTGTTTTAGTGTGATATTCTAAAGATGTAATTCAACTCATATAATATTGTTTATTACACCTGTAATATTGTTTGTTACACTTGAATAAACTGAGTGTTACATAAGAGAAAAATGTTACATTTACTTGAGACACGAACTTAAAACTGCCATTTTTTTTCAACGCCCCTGAATTATGTCACAAATTTCAAATTTAAATTGGATTATTTGCTAATTACTATCCTCGAACTTTGTTAGTTAGCAAAAGCATCTTCTTGTGTTAAAATGGACAAAAAAAGGGAAGTTCTATGGCAGAGGGCGCTTCTTCCCCCTAATAGTAGGGTGAAATCGTGGACACCGTCGGATCAAAAATATGTGGCCAGAACCATCTTCCTCATAGAAACATACATAAAAACGACTATATCTAATCAAATTCTCCCTTCAAGTGTAATACTCCATCTCCCCCTCTCCTCGACGGAAGCCCTATCTTTCGACGGCGCCATCTCGTCCCTCCTCCAACGCCTGTCCTTCCCTGGCGTTAGCGCCGACACAACCACCTTTCCCAACGACTAGAAATCTTAGAGCTTGAGGAACTCCTCTACCAAAATCTCTGTCAAAATTCAGCGAATTACCATAAATAATCGAGTTAGAAAAAACAATAGTTAAATTTAAACTTTTTTCATAAATATTAAAACAACCATTAAGACTATACCTCTATATATATATATATATATATATTGTTGGTGAAATTCGGATTTGGGAGGATGAAAAGAATAGAGAATTCAGAAAGAAGGGTTTGAGGCGTATAGGAATACTTTCCTTTAAGGTTTTATTTGCCCTCACTTCTCAAAGTTTGCTAACGAGTTCTAAATGGCAAATTACCCCCAAGATACAACAAACCATTGAACACAATATCCAGCAAAAATATTGAGTTCCAGAACAATTAATATCAATCTGTATTTTCTGAAGTCCATCATATAAAGACAGGGATGCATTCATCCTCTTTAAGTGTTACAACCTTTCACATAAAGATACCTTTTCAATTTGATGGTTATCTTTTATATGCTGATACACTTATAACAATAGTTATTTCTATTGTTAATAAGTGCTCAGATATGTGAGAAAACATATCACAAATAGATGCAATGGTTCGAGACCTTTTCAGATCACTAAAACACACGAAAACACATTTTTCGTCGACAATTTACGCTGCAGCGCGCGGGCTTAGCAAAACAGACCTGAGAGGTCTGTTTTGCGCAGGCTGCAGCGCGCAGGCCTAGCAAAACAGACCCGAGAGGTCTGTTTTGCGCAGGCTGCAGCGCCCTGCAGCGCGTGCTTGCGTCAGCCCACTCTTCCCGAATGTGTTTTAATCCAATTTGTGATATCAAAATTAAGAGATATATTACAATCTCTCTAACAGTTCTATGGTGAATTGCAGAGCTAGTGCACGAGTTTGTGTGTCTTGGAGAGAGAGAGGGGGGGAGAGAGAGAGAGGGAGAGAGAGAGAGAGGGAGAGAGAGGGAGAGAGAGAGAGGGGGAGAGTCCAATTGTTTAGCACTATTCCGTCCTTGTGCTCTATCTTGGATTCATGAACATTTACAAGACTAAAACCAAGGTCTTGTTAGGAACGACACCATTCCTTATGTTCACTTAGGCGAAGTTCGAATTATATCACTAGTTACTAAGAGACTCAAACTTCATTAAGAGTATAAACTCAACCTCAAACACGTAGCTATTTTTGCACCAATATCCTGGAAGGGTCTAATTAAAGTTCGGTGCTAACCCGTCATATAACAATAATTTGTTCTTACCCATTTAACTATGGAATAGCGGTACAACTATTACATAGTTGGGTTACCATCATTGGTGACTCTTTCAAAGAAAGGTTTCAGTCTCATTCCACTAGATGTTTCTTTGACTAAGTCTCTTGAAAGACCTTTTGTCAAAGGATCCGCTAGGTTTTTGTTTGTCCTAACATAAACAATATTAATAACACCATCGGTTATTAATTGTTTAACATATTCATGTCTCAAGCTAATATGTCTAGATTTACCATTATAAACTTTGTTATAAGATCTAGACAAAGTAGCTTCACTATCATAGTACAAAGAAATAGATGGCATCGGTTGTGGCCACAACTCAATATCAAGCAATAGATTTCATAGCCATTCCGCTTTTTTGCCTGCAGCGGCAAGTGCTATAAACTCACTTTCCATCGTAGAGTGAGTTATGCACGTTTGTTTCTTAGAAGCCCAAGAGACGGCTCCTCCTGCAATTGTAAAAATCCACCCAGATGTAGATTTATTATCACTTGCACTTGTTATCCAACTTGCATCCGAGTACCCTTCAAGTACGGTCGGATAGTCATTATATGACAAACCCAAGTTAATGGTTCTTTTAAGATAACCAAGTACTCTTCCAACTGCATTCCAATGTTCGATACCCGAGTTACTCGTGAACCTAGACATTTTGCATACCGCAAATGCTATGTC